TTGATTATATGTGATAATATTGAGATTGTATCTCCAGAACAGCTGCATGGATCTCGCTGAAATTTAGCATAGATGTAGAACATAGTCTGGAAGAACACATAGGCTAAAAGAAATATGATAATTCCGCGTGGACGGACTCGCCGGTTAATCTGATCAATCAAATCCTGAATTATTTTAAAATGTATTTCGGAAAACAGTGTTTTCTCTCTCTCTGTCTCTGTATGAAACATATCGCCATGCTTGTCATTATCTTTGACAAAACAGAGATAACAATATGTTTGAAACGGGGATTCCGGTCTTGGAAACTCACGGTGAGAACATCAACCGCAAAAATGTTTTCTGAATTTTATATGAAATCGCTAGATACTAATTGAGTCAATGAAGATGTCAGAAGAAGAACAAACATACAATTACGTAATTTTTCTTAGTAAATTAAACAATATTTAGATTTTGTTGTCATAACACCTACTGAAATTAAATATTTAATTTTCGTAAGCGATGATAGGTTTGATAATTATTTTGACAGGAGCCTAATTATAACAATACTTTTATTATCAATACTTGCGGGCTTACCCATTCCCAGATGAAGGCTGAGCCGCTGCGGTTGGGGGCGCAGCTGTAGTACTTGATGTGACAGCCTGCCGCCGTAATCTGTGACTCATGGCCATAGATTCACTGGCCATGGAGGCTGGAAATTACATCGTAATCTTAATTTAATAAAGGGATGAAAAATGTATATAAACAGTTTGTAGTCAAAGATAGTGCGCAGACTTCCCTATATTCTGAAAAATATGTGGTTTTATTTAATTCCACGCAAAAAACATAATGTATTACAAAAATGAAACCTAAAAATATACTCACCGATAAGGAAAACAGCAAACAGTTTATTCATTTTGCTTTATAATATTTAATGTCTACACAAGTTGATTATTTTCGCACTACTGAGCTGACCTGACTACAAGTTTGCTTATAAACTGCAATTGTCTCATTCTGCTGGCTAGTTTATTACGTATTTTGATGTTGCTGTCCGTATACGCTGTAATTAAATACGATTTTTCCTGTTATTTCCTTATTGCAGGTTCTTTGGACTTGCCCTGTAAAAAAAAGTTTTCAAACATATTAATCACACGTTATCTTGAGGATAAATTTGGATTTTCAGGCCTTACAGTTCGGTAATTCCAAAAAAAGTCATTTTAACTGAGGAAATAAATAAGCTTGGGTAAACATTGACATTTTGATGACATCTTCACGCGAAATGAACAAATAGTGACCCATCGCTTTGTTCATCCAAATCGAAGCTTCGTTAGAATTACTACGATGTCATTTTTTACATTTTCCATTTCATTTTTTTTTAGTGTCGGAGATAAGTCTTACAAAGATACCCTACCCTGCCTTCAGGGAGGAAAACAGGGTTGTGTGGGATTTGATCCACTAAAACCCCCGCGGTGACTATACTCGGGTACAATAGAAGAAGGTTCCTGGATCTCCAAGGAACACAACGGAAACCTTCATTTAAAAATGACTTAAAATTATAAATGTCATGGAATAATAATATATAGAGACTGACCTGCAAAAGGTCAATTATTTCCTTGTCAGAGAAAAAGACATTACAAAGGTCAAAAAATCAATGAAAATGACTCAACTTGATTTTTAAGCTTCGTAGTATGCAATTACAAGTAATATAAACAAGTTTATGTTTTGGTGGTGTTGTAGATTGGCCTTGCCTCGAAGGAACCTGTCTAACATTGCCGAGGGGAATAAATCGTTTACGATTTTTATGTTAAGAGATTATGAGAGTTTACGAAGTTTTCAAAAGTCTGCGAGCTCGCATTTGAAATGCAAAGCTGTTATCAGCACGTCCTCCGGAGAGACAGAGGTTATCACCTCCCTCCTCCCCCTCCACCCTCCCCACCCCATCCCCCGCTGTTCAAACCTCAAGCGCTCTCTCACTGGTGCAGTGGAGCGCCAACTCTATTCCAATCAACATATCCCAATAATTACTAATTAGCCAAACGATCGCGTGCCAAATATTTTAAAAAATAAACAATAAAAAATCTTTGTGCTAACCTGTTCTTTGGCCACAATTAAGTGGAAATGATAAGCGATAAGATTTTGTTGTGCGTGTTACTTACTACGGGTGAGTATTTTATTAATATATTTATATTGTAATCAAATGAAATAAAAGGAAAGTATAAAATGTTTAAGGTTACTAAGGCAGGTAATTACATGTTATAAACTACATCTTACTTATATATAAATCCGAGTGTTTACATGGATCGATGGATTTGTTTGAAGGTATCTCTAAAACTGCTGAACGGATCTCGATGAACTTTAGCATACATATAGAACACATTGTGAGAACACAGAGGCAATAAAATTAGTTTTTTTTTAATTCCGCACGAACGGAACCGCGGGAGACAGCTAGTAATATATAAAATATTCACTTCTTATAGTTTAGTAGATACCTTTATCAAATCATCTTTAGTTTGTTACTTTGGTGGTTCCTAAGAAATAAAATATTAACAAAATTGTTTAAACCGATATATTTAGCAAGTTTTTATTGTCGGTTCTATGACTACGCGTTTATTTATACTATCTGTACTATAATATTATAAAGAGGAAAGATTTGATTGTTTGTTTATATGTTGGCATTGAATTGGCTCCAATTTTTTTTATTGATTTGTATTGTTACTAGGTGACTTTATATTGTAATTTAAGAAACGAGTAAATAAAATTTTATTGGTTAATATTTACATTAAGCCACTTGAATAATTCTTGTTTTGTAACATCTTTAACTGAGGTTGTATTCATAAATATTGTTGTCTCTGTTTTGTCAGAGAGAATGTAAAGGATGGCTATATGTTTTGATACATATTTCACGACAGTGGAGTTCTACGATATCGTAAGACATTGAACTTATCGCCAATCACATCGAAGTAACTGCGAGACTGTTTGACGTCTCAGACCTTATCTGTTCAAGTCCTATTCTAAAAATGGAACATAACAAGCGCTCAGAAGTAACAGCAATATAAGAAATCTTAATTTGTAAAAAACTCGCCGAAATGCAACCCTTTGCAAATGTAACTATTCTATATTTTTTTTGCATAATCTTTGGTGAATATTAAAAAAATTAAACGGTTGTAAATTGGTTATTACAATTTATTATTTATGCAATTTCTTTTATATAAATTGAAAGTTGAGATGTCTTTACATATTAAGGAAATTAATATTTTTTCCACGAAGTTTACTAAGAACGGAATTAGATGAGTAGCAAAATGTGCAAAAAGCCTGATCCCTTTTAGTACAGTCGCCAAAACAAACCGAAACTATAGCCAAAAATAACGCGAAAGAAATAACACGTAAAGAATATGGACCTCCAAGTTTGCTCCGCGTTACATTTAGGTTTGCTCTCTAAGCATATTTGGTAATAGGGTACTGGAACAAACTAAATCCATACAAGACATCATAATTATATTTGGATCACTTTTATGGCTGTGGGTTAGAAGCCTCATGCGTCAATGTACTCTTAAACAAAGAAACCGCCGCAGCTGCGACAGAAAATGATCCGCAGGTTATCGTCGCAAACGAGTTGACCAACCAATCACACAATGTGCACTGCTATTTAAACTCCTAGCTCTTACGTCTTCGCACGAGATTGTCTCGATTTTCTTCTTTGAGAGCGTCAGTAATACAGTTATTAAACGGTCGACTGGACCGGGCTAAAATTTATGTGGTGCAACCTGCATATATCTTAAGTTAACCAGTGGTGGACTATGGCCTAGCCACCCCTAACTTGGGTAGGCTCCGATCTCCTCCGCGGGGACATGAGCTGACCACACGTACAATAATTTCTAATACCTACATATGTATGAAAAAAATAGATAAATTTTTAATTTTAATTTGTTTCTTCAAAGTAGGGTAGACGACAAATTAAACCAAAACATTAAGGTTTATGTGGCTTGTTTGTCACGGAGAAGATGATGTATGAAAAAAAATCCTTCGCTTTTTCCTTCTTAATCGTATCAAATTTCATACAATACCTCCTTTCCTAAGCTGGCATAAACCTTAACATTCATAAGACGTTATCTTGTTATTAGATCAAATATTAGCAAGTTAATTGGGCGTGAGAACTTAACTGATATGAGGATATCCTGATGATTCAATTGAGGACGTTCGCTCACTATCTGCGCCAACTTTCCGGAAACCACTACAGAGAATAAATGATAACAATTAAACATATTAGGGATAAATAATTTCAACTCAGATAAAAACGAGATTTTAAATATTGAAATATTTATAATACGTTGGATCACGCTTACCACTAATTTTGCGTTTTTCCGATCAAAATTAGGCTTTCTTTTTAGGGTCGGACAATATTACAACCTTTTTTATAGTCTAATTAATGCTACCAAACTTAGTACTTCCCTGATTTTATTACTTACTTAGGAGCTGCGAAATGTAATTTGAATCAATGAATTAGATTTGATTTTTCTCAAGTTAATATATCAAGAAAATCAGAAAAAAACAATTCGTCGCAAATAATTTATACTGACAGTTTACAATTTTGTTTTCTTAATTTAAAGAATAAAAATAAAAATTAAAAATGTTTTTTTGATTGCAGTTGAATAACATCAACAATTCATTTTAATTAAATTATTATCAGCCAGTTTGAACTCTGACCACATCAGAACATCTTTAAGATACTTATGTTGTCATCGATATATTTATTGATGACAACATTTGTTTATCTGTGATTTAAATCAATAGCTTCTCATATTCTCTTGTTTACAATTGAACTGAACTGAAAAGCGTAATTTGTAGATGAGATCACAGGAAAACTTTAGAATACATAAAGGTTTATATTATATAAGGTCAAATCAAATGTCATGTTGATATTGTATATCGTTAAAACAATAACGGAATAAAACAAGTATTATCACGTTGTTTATGCACCAGTTTAATTGTATATAATATGTAGATACATACATGTGTACGTACAAATCTTCATGAGCTATGTCAAATTCCAGGGAAATTTATTAAGTTATTCTAGAGATACCTAAAAATAACAAACATCCATACATCTAAACTTTCGCATTCATAATATTACCAGCTGTCCCCCGTGGCATCATCTGCGCGAACTTAAAAATACATAGTAGGCTATATGTTCTTCCAGTCTATGTTCTTTATGTATGCCAAATCGAAATCCGGCGATTCCTTCAAACAAACGGCCATCCATCAATATTATTAGTAAGAAGTAAGAGGTAATATAAGAAATTGTTTTCTATTACTCCTTGTAATTATTGTTGAATGCTTACCTTGAATTTAAAAAATGAATTTACTTTCAGTGTGGCGTGTAACAGAAGCTGCCAGCATACCTTTTCTGAGGCCTGCACACATAGCAGATCTAAGATATGTCACAGAGAAGAGTGCAGAAGTACAGAGCCCAGTACAGGTGATCCACGGGCGCGTACGAGAGGGGGTGCCACCGCCACTATGCGCGGGCCGCTGCGCTTCGCCCCCTGCAGGCCCCGTATGTGCTTTCGACGCGGCTGGCACCGCGCGAACTTTTGCAACCCTCTGTGAACTGGAGGCCGTGTCTTGCCGCGAAAGTACATGTAAGTACAGCGAACTAACCATTATTTACTATTCAATTGCCGACTGCTGATGACCCCGTTAACACTTCACATCCCGTAGATACAATTATAATAAAATTACTTACCCGCACTTTATTTGACTAACTTAATCCACCCCCAATATCATACAGCCTTATTCCCAAACTATCTCACTGTCCCTAGTACTCCTATTATACATTAGGTAATGAATTTTGTAATCTTAATTATCGTCTACCTAGTAACAGAAAATGTCAAGACTAGTCATGACCAGTGGCTTGGCTTGTACCATTATTTAAATCTAAATTAGTCAGATTTAACGATTTAACGAACATACATACATAATTTTACACATAACTAATTTTTATCAACTAAATATATTAATAATATTCCTCTGGAGATATCTCGTTCCAAAAATACCGACTAATTTACGATAAATTATAAATAGCTTGTGGCTTCGATAATATTACTATTAATAGCTTTCTTCTCGTTTATCCTAGTTACATAAATACATCCCTTTGCGATAACATGCACACAAATTATGTTTTATCTGTTCTAAAGTTATTGTGTGGTCATGTCATTATTATTTCTCTTACGAATCAATAACTTCTAATAAATTATAAGACGAATGTATTGGTGAGAGATTTAACAGCTAAGTTCACTGATTCCGTAAAAAGCAAAATATTATCGTTCAATTTATAATATTTTCGCTTCACATATAAATAAGGATTCTTTTCTTTGCAGATTACGCGATAACCAGTCTCGGTGAATGTTAAGAAAAAGATGTTCATTATAAACCAAAGAACATTCATTTTAGTTTATAGAAATTAACCGCCTTCATTATAATGATACAAGGACCTTATGGCAGTTTTTTGACATTGACAGGGGTGATAAGTTTTAGTGTTACCAGTAGCAAAAATTTCCTTGCAACTACCGAAATTCGCCAATGGTAAATACAACAATTTGTAAGCAAGTTAGTGCGTACTTTTTAAATTGATTATCCACACAAATAATACAACTTAAGGTTTAAAAAAAGTACAAGGTAAATTTATTTTATTAAGCATGAGCAATGCTTAAAATTAATAAAGATTGCTTGCACGATAGCTTCATCATACCCATGGTCCTGGTAAAAGCAATTAAAACTTTACTTTAAAGCGTCACACGTGACATTTGCTTGAATTTTGAAAATATAAAATGGCAACATTATCGCGTGCAGCTGCCGCTTCCTTATTGGTCAAAATATGACGCTGTCAAGATGACATTGTTAGTTCACATATTTTTCGACTGTCGTAAGATCCTTGTGGAACTATATTCAACAGGAAAATTTTGTCAAAATTAATTTAGGTTTCGTTAAACTAAAACAAACTTTTAAAAATATTGTATTATTGTGAAAGTTAAAAGTAATTTCTTTAGTTTATAAAATTTTAAAAGTCTTATTCCGCCTTTATTAAACTGCGGTCTTTATGTATGGTCAATAAGTTCTTACATTCTTTATGAAGTAAGTGATTGCCTTTAATATTATAATTCTAGAAACATTTGATGATTAAACTTAATTCATCATCTTTATTTTTTTTTTCAATAAAAATGAACATAGTTTTAAAAATCCGTAATTTATGTGGCAATTTTTCCAAAATGTCTGACAATATATTGCAAATCAATGTATCGATTTTTTTAAATATGTTTTAGCAGCTTCCATTAAAAATAATTAGAAAAATAAACAACAAAATACATATTAAAATTTAAAGAAAAAAATTAGAAAGCATTGCTCAAAAGTACTCTTAAGAAAGAAAATATTACCGATTATTTGCAAATATTGTTGGCAATGCTTTACCAGTAGTATTAAGATATAAGTAGTATAGGTTAAATATTATTTATTGTACAAAGTACACTTCAAACTTTTTCTTATTCGCTCAATAAAACATATCCTGTTTTCACATATTATGTTAAGGTTTTTACTTCAATAAATTTTGATTAACACTTTGTTGTTTTATTTTATTTTTTTATATCAAAAGGCGATAAACGAGCGAGCGGCCACCTGAAATCGCTGAAATAGCGAAGTGACCGTTGCCCATAGACATACGCAATTACATATGCGTTGCCTACTTTAAATCGACGGAGCAGAAGATACACAGAAAGAAAATATCTTACCTTTCCATGCATCCTCTCATCCGGAAAGTCCACTTCCACTTCCAATAAAATGGATCCACACGCATTCTTTAATCAATTTTCATAGCTATTATTTTTACACAGATTTTATTGTTTATATGATTGAACATCAAGCAGGAAGCTAAAGCCTCTGAAGACTTGACAGAGTATCATGGTATCACGGAATGCCGACTTGCCGTCGACCCGTCGGTCGGCACAGATACCTCAGGAGAGGCCGTGGTATGGAAATGTACCAGCGATGTCTCCAAGCAGTCGACTGGCATGATGACACAGGTCAGGCGACGCTGGCGATCTCTTGTGTTGAAGGCCAATACTAACTTTAGGTCGCTGTGCTAGCGGAGTAAGTTTTATAACAAAGCTATAAGTTGCAGTCGTTGCATAAAACAAAGATGCTTGTTAATGACAGCGCCCTATGTCGCAGGATTTAAAAAAAATATAAATATTGAGTTTCTCAAGAAACAAAACTGGTAAGCAACTATAACTCTACAAATTTTTACGAATGGTGAAGTAACTTCAAGTGAAGCGCTTCCTTGTTTGTATGCTTCTAGGAAAATAAATTTCAAACTCTTGGTTCTTCTTATTCTTGTTCATCTTGTGAACCCTCTTCTTTTTTTCCCACTATCACCCACCTAAGGGCTGTTACTTTGAAATTCATATTTCTAGTATGAAAAATTAAATGAGCAATGATAATACTAACATTAGTTTAAATCGTTATTTCAATCAATTATCGCGGGCGCCATACAGTCTGCAGTATTTTGTTGTTTACTTTATGCCCTACTTACTTACAGTAAACATGTTTTTGCTGAGCAAATCAATGTAAACATGACCTGTTTACAATATCATATTAATGAATCAATAACTAATGGTTTAACTACTTATTATATATACGACTAGCGGTCGCCCGCAACTTCGTCCGCGTGGTATTAAAAAAAATCATAATTATTAGCCTATGTGTTCTCCTAGACTATGTTCTATATGTATGTCAAATTTAATCAAGATTAGTTCAGAAGTTCTGGAGATACCTTCAAACAAACATCCATCCATCTAAATATTCGCATTTATAATATTATCAAGATTAATAATACAATTATAAACGATAGCAAGTGATATTGTATTTCAATGTAACAATTTTATGTTACAATCGTAGGACAGGGACCAGGACAGAAATTAGTTCTATCATTAACAATGTTTTTGTTAATAAGGTACACTAGAAGTAAAAATAAAAAACACAATCTGAAAATTTTATTAGTATGATCGAGGAAAATACATTGGTCAAAGTTCATGGAATAAGTAATTTTAAAATTTGTAATATTACATTTCTTATTGCTTAGTTACATCACAGTTACTTTGATAAAAGCTCTAAATAAAAAAAAATAAGCAAATAAATGTTTAGAGAGCGTAGCTATGCGTTACAACAACGATTGTAACTTGAAACAGAAGTTGTATTCTTAAGATAAGCGGATACCATCCGACCCAGGGCATTCACCTTTGCTGATCTTATGCAATGCTGGAAAAAGAAAAAAAATATTAAATTACAACTAATAATTACTCTACTAATTACTATTACACTAGATAAAACAACTAACTTTACAACTAGAAGTTTCATCGTATTATTAAAAAACAGTAACATAAATCATGTAGGTGTTTCATTGGTTTCCATCTCTGCTGTTTTCCTAGTGAATGAAAGGAACCTCATATTTTGTAAATGTGTTTTTGTGACTAAGACGGTAGCTATCTTATAGTCTTAATTTAAATATGTTACCCTATTCTTCCTACTTTAAAATACTGCTTATCGCGAGCTTTTGATACCAAAATACCCGTTTCAAACATTGTTATCTCTGTTATGTCAAAGAAGTGACAGGGATGACGATATTTTTATACAGAGATTTTGGTATCAGAAACCCACGGTTAGTTCCTTACCTACATATTAATGTTTCATGTTGTAAGTAAGCGAATAAAACTTTGCATTTTGTCTACACCAGTCTAACGGGGATGTGGTAATTATAGTGTTAAAGCCGAACGCAGCCGTGACTCAGAATCCGGTCGACTAACAAAGGCGAGGCTCATGGCGATTACGTCATTTGTCATGCTCTCCTGGTCACACAACACAATGCGAATGAATTTAAAGTGTTAAATTAGAAAAAATATATCGCAGACACGATACATGCTGACGCACTTGTTCTCTGAGATTCAATGTACTTTGATTTACAAATATACTCTAAGGGTAAAGTAATCATAAAATTACTCAATAGGTGACTACCGATACCAAAATCGTCGTCATCCCTGTCATTATCTTTGCCAAACAAGAGTAACTATATGTTTTAAACGCAGACTTTCAGTGTCAGGAACCTATGGCTAGACTTTCCAAAAATATATTGATTAATAAAACTCATTATCATGAAATTGCTAACCGTACGTTTCTGAGACCGAAATCTCCGTTTATTTGTTATAGGTGATTGTACAAAGATTTTAGTCTCAGAAACTCACGATAAGTATCGTCCATCGACCCAAGACGTCCATAATGTCTCAATTTAAGTATAAGTTACCATATTTAGCCATCACTATCGACGTTAATCAAGTTCAAATAACAACTTAGATAAAAACACTTGGGACACATAAATCTAGATAAAACCGGAAAGATTACGACATCTCCGAATTTAATAATAATGCTTGACATGATTACTTCTTAAGTGGCTGTCTAGATCTCTTTTTAAGCCTGTGTGGGAGTAAATTGAACACTTATCTCTTCGTGTTTTAAGTATCAGTAATTTGACATCTACGCAGTAAATTCTCACGATGTGACCACAACACGCAGATTAGAATATACTTATAAAAATAACTTTTGTTGTTGGAAGAAAGTTCGTTGTCATTTTGGCATCATGTCTTAACAAAGCAAAGTATCACGTATAAAAAGCATGGTTGATTTTTATATAGGATGCTGCTATGCCTAATGCTAATTGATCAGATGCCCATGGACATTCGGATCACCACGCAATTGTTAAAGAAGCTTGCATTTTCCGAGCGTCCTATAAATCAAATGGCTTTTAATACTTACTGTCTTTGTGCTCGCAGTTGTAGTTATTCATGACGCACTCGCTGCCAAACGACTTAGGCTTCTCGCCCTGCTTGCCAGCACAGATGGGCTCAAATTTTGCGCTGCTACAGTCCTGGGTGCAGGCCTTTTTGCGCGCCGCTTCCGCCTTCAACTGTTTCAGGTCCTGCTTGTCGGGTCGGCAGGACACTGACACCACTAGCACCGCTGGAATCCGACCAGTAAGATGATGATTTAAAAAATCTAAATATTCCTATGGCACTTGGGGTTATTGTACCTTACCAACAATGAAAGAATTTTTCAAATCGCTTTAGTAGTTTTGGAGCCTGCTCAATACAACCAAACAGTCAAATATTTCCTGTTTAATATAAGTAACGATAATAATGCAAGCAAACTACCTACCGAACGCGTCATCCAATAACCTTAGTCCGAAAAACCGATATCAATTCATCTATCCATAGTTTTCTATGAGTGTAATTCAAAATAAAATCTTCTATTTATACCAATTATTTAATAAACCTTATAAGAGCGAGGTCGTTGTTATACTATTGACCTTAGAGGGAGATTACCTTGTTAGCTTATAATGCTAGGTGCTCTGCGAGATATAACTGTCATACGTATTCTATACGTAATGTAATAGAAATAAAAATATTTAAAAATGAAATATTTTTTTTCGAGACACAATTTTTTACTCAGAATAGGCAATAATAATTCTATATTCAGCGCATTATTTTTGTCTTCCTTGAATTAACAAAAATCAAGGCGATGGTATATCATGACGTCGTCCCAAACATGTTTATCTGCACTTTCCTGTTGAGTAGTTTGTTTATAAGATCTTAATTTTGTAAACTGTACTCGTTCCGTAAAATCTAATTATGACTTTAGACAGTAATCTTTATATATGTTCATTTTAGATTACTATTTGAACATAAAAGACAAGACATGACTCAAATGTTAATTAACGAGATGAATAGCAAGGAAATAATATTTGTAAACAACATAAGAAAACGGAAAGGTAAATAACCTCAATTAGGATCCGTAAAAAGCAAAAATAAAACAAAGATGAACTTACCAAAAATAAACAAAGTAAAGTATTTCATTTTTCGTCCGCAACACAGACGTGTTTCACTGTGCTCTCTCGATCACGACTACTTGATTCCAGACGTTACGATCTTTTTTATACAAGTCCATTCAGCATAAACGCTTCTATACACTTAAAAAATAACCTTATCCATATATGTTGTTGTCGGTAATAATTTCTGTAAAGAAATATCAGTTATCTTATAAAGTTAGTAATGTAAATAAATATTTGAAATTAAACTTATTTCACCCCAAGATTACAAAAACACGATACCAGGAAAGTTCAGCTTACTTTTGTATTTTGTTTTTTTTTAAACACTGATTTAAATGTTTTAAGAATATGTAAATACTGAAATTATAAAGGTGTTTTGTTAAAACTAAATACCCTCAAAAAGATTGATAATCGTAAATAAAATTCAAATCACTAAAACATACCAAACAATGCAATTAGAAGGAATTTGCTAATTGTCTAATTTAATTTTAATATTTTTGGTAAAATAACGTATAAATATTACAAAGTATGCGGATAAATACTTTTTTATGAGTAAAATATCTACCGCATTTTATATCAATAGTGCGAATCAATGTACCAAAGTGCAGTTTATGTGAATTGCCAAATTAGTCACGGTACACTCGTCATTTTATTGTTATTGTACGAACAAAATTCCATATGAAACGTCATCTAAAATTATAGACATTTTGAAACTGTAGAACCATTAGATAATTTAGTAATAATTAACGCAGAGACAATTGACAGTAAATTATTGGATAAAATTTACATCTGCGGTTCCTCTGGTATTGCTGATGTCCATGGGCGTCGTTGAACACCTCGGTGTTCCCGCTGCTCGTTTGCCCCCTTGTGTTATAAAAAAAAACACTCAGAAAACGCGTCGGTGGCTCAAGGGTCACTTGACTCGTAATCGAATCCAGGACCTGTCAGGTCAGGTGGATGTAAGGAATCTGTATTATTCGATTTTAGATTTATATATTGTATACTTTTATCCGAAGTTCTCACGACGAAGAAGTTGAATCAACCCAGCTTGATTGTCACCATCACCCTTATTTGGTCTATGAGCCCATCGATGGGAATATAATACAAATCTGACGACGATATTATCAATTGAAAACACATAAAAAGTACAGACGAATTGATAACCTCCTTCTTTTTGAAGTGGGCTAAAAATTGAGTCTAAAAACCATTAGAATTTTTCAAATGTTTTTAAATAGATATATCTACTTCATAGTTTCTATTTCAATACAAAATACGAGGTACATAATGAAACAAACAGTTATATTTTTGATAATTTTAGTTTTTTTATACAATACAAATATTAAATATTTTTCACACATGAATAAATAGGAACGCTCACGTAATTTAAATGCACACAAACATATTACACAGATAAAAAAAGTACAATTAAGCGAATTAATTTTGGTCGCAACTGCCAAAAAATATAGGAACATATGGTCTTCTTCAGATGTTTCTGAAACCAGAAGTAATTTAAAAGGAATTTATTATCTTTCTTTTCTTTATTTAAATCCTCTTTGGAATATTGTTAAGGTCATGTGAATTTTCACTTTTTTAATTTTTGTTTGCGTTAACATGTTAAAAAAAATTATAAAAATGCAAAATATACAACACGTAGCTACATTAAATTAGTATTTAACACCTATTATAATAAATCTTGATTGTTATTCTGTAATTGTTACTTAAAATATATTAGCTTAAAAATTCGAAAAAAAATCCTATAATTACTTACATTTAAAAAGTTTACTGACTAGAAATTCAATCAAATATATTTACGCAAAACACTCATTAATAAGACTGTAGTGTAGTACATTAATATTTTAATAAATATTTTATAACTTTCAAATGAAAATGACGATTGACAGATAAGCATTAAATGTAATTAATTAATTTAATAGCAATAATTATAATTGAAATGATTGCTGACTAGTTTTTAGTTGTAAGGAATTTTTTAAAAGAGCTTACTACTCGACTAGATGGTTCCCTTTTCGCTTGTATATAGATGTATTTAATGTAACCCTAAGCCAAAACTGTTAAAACCAGTTAGTTTCAGATATCATTCAATTCGTATTTTTCGGAGGTTTGTCGTAGTTTTAGTAAAGCCCATTTTATAATCATAAATCGTAACGTTGTTTCATATCAATGTATTTTATTTCGATTTCAAAATGCAAGCCAAACAAAATGCTTTACAATATTTTTAAAATTGTTAGATTGATTTGAAACGAAAAAAAATATATATTTCGCTATTTCGTAACCCATTATTCGTTTAATCCGAGTAGAGTCCTTCATATAGAGATCGAGGGAGATGTTCAGCCAACAAAGACTTGAGTTTTTCCCGCGGCGAGACCGGCGTGTAGCGCGCCAGAGGGAACGTACGGGTCACGCCGTCGCTCAGAGATCGAGTCACAGCAGTCAGGTCACCGTCCTGTAAAATATAAATAGCTTTTTATCCGCAGCAAATGAAATAAGAGGCTACATAGCGTTAAGTGTTTGCTAACCATGACATCTGTAACATTATAATTTAAATTTAATAAAATTTACAGGACGATTGACTTTCCTTCTTATCATTTCTAAGATGATAGTTAAAGAATTGATGTCATCTGTTCTAAGTGTCCCCTTTTTTGATATTACTCTAAAGTCTTAAATAAGGAGTTAAGCAAGAACATTTTGATAAATAATTTGATTGTAATGATTCGATAATTACCGCACTCTTAGTGTACTTTTCGAGACTACGAAGAGCTTGTTCGAAATAATCTTCGCCGTATGCGCCCTTTTGTTCGTCGCTGAGTCTCTTCCACATGTCGCGAGCTTGCTCCAGAAGTTTCTCCTCGGACAGCCAGGCGCTGCCGGTCGTGTACTCACCCGCCGCGACAACCACCTGATGACAATGTATTAATTAAAGAAGTAAATAAATGTATACAGTACACATTAGGGATATAAGGATAGACTACATCCTAATAAGCACTGTATGTACCATATCAACTGGTAGGATCATGACTACTCATTTCACATATGAGCTTAGTTTATAATGTGTCAACAAATTGGACTTACAACATCAACACCTCGCGGTTTGAGTTCGCGTCGTAGGCAGGCAGCGAGGGCGTCAAGCGCGGCCATCGAGGCAGCATGCACGCCGCGTACAGGCGCTGCCACGTGCGTCAGGATAGAGGAGGCCAGCACCACACGGCCGCGAGCGCGCCGCACCAGCGGTAGCATCACTTGAACAAGCCGCGCCGGCCCTGAACCCGACATGCAACTATCCATTATTCTAATCAAGCTTCCGATGGAAATACCGACTGGTTTCGGTAGTCGAACTGGAATTAGTTCGCGTACGACTCGCAGTCCAAAATACTCTTGCGAGATAGTTGACCAAGACTTACCGTGAATAGAGTATTTACTCGACTACTTATATTACGTAATGAAAAAATGAAAAAAATGAAAAAAAAAATGATTTATTACTTTAACAAAAATGGTACATACTAACATTTGTGCCGGGACTTCCATTTAAGCATCCATAATGGGCTTGTGATTGGAAGTCCCGCTCTTCCGTGTCACATAAACAATATCAATGGTACCTTCTTAAACTATATATTATATAAAAACAAATAATTATTTTTAACAAACAAAACAAAATACAGAGAGTTAACTAAAAAGTAAAAATAAAATGACAATAAACTAATTATTAATTACTAAATTAAAAAGTAAAAATGAGCAGAAGTTATGGAAAATAACAGAAAAATACATTTGTGTAACTTAATGTTTGTGCAGTATAGGTCTCTTGATTGTATGAATGTGTGTGTGTGTATGAGCGTGTGTGTATATGAGTGCATGTGTGTAAGTACAGTTGAATTTATATAATAATCTTTCATATACGTGGTATAGTTTGAATTAATGTTTCAGTCTCATCATAAGTTTTAGTCATCAACCAGTCAGTTACAGTCTTTTTGCATTTAAATAATTTAAGAGGGTAGATATTAATTTCTTTGTTTATTAAATTGTATAAGTTAGAGGATTGCCGAGGATATTGCCTTGCAGCAAAAGTGGAATTTGTTTTAATAACATTAACTACGTTTTTTCTTCTTTTTTTATTAGTCACCGGGTCAAATTTTATTGATTTATGCAGTTTTAATATAGTTTGTAATATGTACAATTTTCTGATTGTCAGAACTTGAGCAATTGTAAAAAGATCGCTTGTTGGAAAGCAATACGGTTTAGAGAAAATTACCTTTAAGAGAGACCTCTGAGATCTTTCAACATCTAAAAATTTAAGCTTGGATGCTCCACCCCAAACAGGTAAGCAATAAGTTATAACTGATTGGGCAAGTGAAATGTAAATCTGGCGTAAAATATCTTTCGTAGCAACATGTCTTAAGGTCTTAAATGTCCACGTAAGTTTACGTATTCTAGTTAAAATGAGTTCGATGTGATCATGCCACGAGAGACGTTGGTCAACCATTACACCTAGGTATTTAGTATGGTTTACTTTGTCAATGGTTGTGCATGCACATGAAGTGTTATTTGAGTCTAGACACGTGTGAATTTTAATAAGAAAGTCATCAGGCGGTTGCGTTCGTTCGTACTTGGTAAAACAGATGAAGTTAGTTTTTTTTAGCGTTCAAAGTTAACAAATTAGAGTCTAGCCAGCTCGCTATCCTTGACAGTTCACATTCAGCATTTCTCCGTACACTATCCCACGTTTTACCGTAAAAGACTAAGGCCGGTTCATCTGCGTAGGAGAAGATGTGACCCTTATTGACCTTGGTATTGCAAAGATTGTTTATGTATAAAAGAAATAATGTTGGACCAAGCACACTGCCTTGAGGCACACCATAAGTGATGATCTCCTCTGAACTGATGTAATCTCCTATTTTTACCTTCTGTGTACGATCTGCCAAGTAGTCTTTGAAAATGTTAAGAGGTTGGCCTCTAATGCCAATCTCCTCTAGCCTATGTAAAAGTGTGGAAACAGAAACAGAATCGAAAGCGTTTTTTAAATCTAAGAAAATAGCCACACATTTATAACCTTTGTCTACTTTATCAGTTACAATAGAAGTTAGTTGCAAAATAGCGTCCTCTGTAGACGTCCCTTGCCGAAACCCAAATTGTGAGGAAGATATTATGTTATTCTTATTAAGGTAATTCACTAATTTTAAGTTGATAATTTTTTCTAGTATTTTTGAAAGGGGCGTTAACACCGATATTGGCCTGTAATTTGCTATGGTAGTCTTGTCTCCACCCTTGTGCACAGGGGTGATTAGGGCTTTTTTTAAAGCAGAAGGAAAGACACCGTGTTCAAAGCATAGGTTAGTCAAGTAGGTAATAGTTGGGACGATGATTTCATGTGCAGCTTTGAGAAAAGCGATAGGTATATTATCTGAACCAGTTGCACTAGTTGATTTTAAACTCAGCAGAGTATTGCGCACCTCCTGATCATCAGTATTAAGAAGTACGAACGAAAGTAATCAGACATGAGTATATCACTTTATTTGTCTACTCCATTCTCAGTTTTCATTCCTCTTTCCCTTTATATCGGAGTGCAATGCATTCTGGATTCATCTGATTGTTGTGAATACTAAACAATTAAACACAGGTATGTTTCTCTTTGTGCTTTATGACCTGTCTTACCAATGGTTAACATGAAATAGATACTATAGAATAGATATATTGTTAGCTAGTTTGAAATTTAACAGACAGTCATGAAATCAATTGCAGGTAAATTTAAGAAATTCCAGTGTACCTAGGAGAGCCAAATTGATAATGGGTAGTAAATCGTCAGTGCGATTTTAGGTAAAATAGACAAATGTGTTCAGGAAACGTTAGGTTTATTTGCAGATTTACTCAGCTGTTTAATATTAAATCGTTGCCAATAAACATTGGATGATAGATTTATTTTAGACTTCCTTCTCTTGAACTTTCAAGTTTATAGCCCAACAAATATTCCAACAACCTTTATTGATATGGAACTATAAATTTTGGAAGTAAATATCTTTATATAGCTTTTATGCAACACAGAATAACAATGTCAATGGAATAAACCCATTGCCATTTTGTAGTTCAATGAAATAATAGTAGAAAATATAAATAAATAAAATAATAATAATCAAATAATAAATAATCACATAAATAATCCACACAATATGATATGTAATGCATGCATTAACAATGGCATAATAACATAATTTTTAACACTTATTTGTTTAACATTTTTAACGTTTGTATATTACCTGCTACAATACTAACACTTTATATTTTAAAAACTTTGGGATGAACCTACAAGGGTTAAAAAAATTACAGATTATACTAATAACGCCATCTATTGGTAAATATAATATTTACAGAGAAGATTGTCTCTAATATTATGGCAGCTGTCAAAGAGATGTAGTGATTATTTATTACAAACTTCACGCATTGAAAAATTTATAACATCGAGAACTATCCAATAACAAGTCAAAATATGTTTAAATAAAATACTGCCTGAATAGACATGTCGATTAGTGCATAACATACGGATTTAAAAAAAAATGTCGACTAACGCCATCTATGGAGTGAAATAATAATTAAACAAATTCGTAGCAGGGCGTAGTATTTCTGGAGGACATAGAACTTACCTAACAAATTAACTTCCATAGCTCTACGGATGACTGAGAAAGGTACCCATTCTAGTTCACCGAGTGCGCACCAGGATTCGCAGTTGACGATTGCCCACAGACCCTGCGCGCCCTCTGGTAAGTGATCCACGATATACAAGGATGCCGACAATATCTGGAGATAAAATATATTAATTTGGATTTAGAGTTTTTATTATAACAATTTAAATTAACTGACACTTAATACTTTCTTAAAAAATTCTTATTTCACAAATTGTTTGGAGATTGGGCAAACCTACGACGACTTAATTTCACAAATAAGTTCCAAGTAACTTATTCGGGACTAACTTGGCTATTGTGAACCATGCCCTTAACATCTCATTAAAAATTATCACATCATAATTTCTAAGTCGTAGATCCTACGAGATGGAATAGTTTTTAATTCTAATCTGACCTCAAAATTTGTATGTATCCGTACTGACGCGAGGCGAAAGGAACTTTAAGATTACTAGACACAACGGATCATAAAATAATCTGGTTCAAGAATTTCTTGATTATCTGGTTCGGGGACGGATTGGACTGGAATCACGTTTACTATTTCATTTCGAGGACACCATGGGAGATGGACCGATCGATAGCTATTAGCGTTCTTGTCTGGATTAAATCTTAAATTATAAAAAAGGTTACGCAAAAACGTAATCTATTTTTTGTACTACCTTTGTTCAAAGTTTTTTAATAATTATTAACGAGGTTAAAATAATAATGAAGGAAAATAAGTGAACTAAAATATATTTTTAATTAAGATTTCTTTGTGTAATTTGTGCCCATAATTAAACTTCAACGTAATATGAACACTTAGGAGTTTTGAAGCTTGTAAAATTACATTTAATGTTGCCAGGAAAGTCCCTTATTCTTGTTACATGAAACTTTAATTAGCTACTTCATTTGCCAGGATATATCATATTTTAGTATCATAATAAATAAACAGTTCAATGACAGCGCTTCCGTATTAAGATTCAACGACCTCACTCGCAAGCTGTAAGTTTGTATCAATACATTTTCCAACAAAATTAAAATTTCTCAGAAGATGTCTCTACATCAATCACTCTTGTATTACAAATAGGAAAGTTTGAATGGATGGATGGTTAGTTACGGCTTAACGGATTTCGATGAAATTTGACACAGATATAGAACAAAGTCTGGAAGAACGTATAGGCTAGGTAGTACCTTAGGTATTTAATTCCACACGGATTAATCCACTGACAAAAGATAGTTTAAAATAAAATAAATTCCAACGGCAAAATTGACCATGCTTCACTTAAACCATTTAAAAAAGGGTTATTGTTAATGAATTTATTTGTGACCTGGGTCATCGGCCCGATATCCTTTGGTACAATTGGAATATACTATGCAACTATTAACTGGGTGTTATTGTGGAATTTATCGTTCTCGAATAGCGGCTTAACGACATCTACATATACCATCGTAACGGCCTTGATAGCTGTGGCCAAATATAAATTTATGTCAGATATTTCAAATTCAACGAATTGCTCAATCAATTTTGTAACCGTGCGTTTCCACTGCCTAAACGTCTATGAAAAAAGGTATTGTTATCCCGGTTCTTTTTCAAAGATAATGAAAGGAATGACAATACGTGTTTGTAGAATGTGTGTAGTGTAAACTCATTGTAAGATTCATAGAATATGTATACGTTTTAATCAGTTCAATTATACGTCGAACTCGGTTAAGACGATTCAAACAAAGATTTGCAGAAAAATTGATGAATTTATCATTTAAAAAATAAAAGTATTAGACGTTATCTTTCCTATTACATTCTGTACTTCAGCGGTTATTAGGATATAAGAAAAATTTAGATTACATTAACATTTCACCGCAACCTGAGTTGAACATGAACTTTACTTACTTTTATAGTTGCAGTTCAGCTTCAGGCAAGCTCAACGTGTAATTTAAAGGTCTTATAAGATTTATTACTTTTAAAGAACTGTTTCATTTTATTCCGTTTCAATATGATACCCATACATGACATTTTTAGAGGCGAAGGATTTAACCAACCCTCACACTAGTACCCACTTACCGTGTAGCCTACGACTCCCCTACGTATAGGACAAATATTACGTATCCATTGATGCTTTATTTCATAGACTATTGCATTATTGGTGTAAATATCTGCAATGTATAGCGATCGTTACCTGAGTTTCAGATGTGATATCAAGTTGCAATGTATGTAAGCGTCCGGAGCAATCTTCTTTGAGCATATCGGCGTCGATGTTGCCAGCCTTATTCTGGAAGCCGGCGAACACGTGGTAGCCGAGATCATCAAGACGACGCGCGAGTGCATTGCCCAATACGTTGTCACATCCAGTAACAAGGACAGCCTTCCCAGCAGCTGTTACCTGATAACAAAGAAATATCGCAATAATAATAAAACCTGAATAGTAAAAGAGCACAATTACCTATAAATCTAAATTATCTTTGATACTATTTTTGAATTGAGTAAAAAAACCGTATACGTTATTTCTCATTTTTCTTTAACTTATTATATTATTTTAAGTACATTGATAATTTATTTATTTGTACGTAATTATAACAAAGAAATTTATGGAGCTGATGTGAGTCGCAACGTCGGTCGGGGCCGTCCCAGACGGACTTACATAGTCCAGATTGAAATACTCAAAAAGAACAGTGCTCTTAGCACTCGAAAACGAGTTGCATGTGTGAATAGATATAGGAATATATAAGAAGCCAGAAAGGTGTGTCAGAACCATGCCAGATGGAGGTCCAATGCCTCTGTCTACTCGGGTTACGGGCGTAAGTTTTGTTGTTTTACACAAAAAAGCGGAAACTTCATCGACACTGTTGTGGTTAAACCTCATAAAATTATTATAAATTATAATAGAGATGAAAAAGACACCACTTTCTTGGGTTGTCCTAAAATAAGGCATGTTCATAACATCTCCTGCTACTTAACAAACCTCGTTAATAGATACATAATAACACGACACTACCCCAGAACCTATTATACAAGACGGTTTTTCGTCAAAGCGAGATTTACCTAATTAATTTTATAAATAGAATATCCTAATTAGGGAAAGGTCATCTGTTACGTACATTTGTCTATTGTCTTAGAAATGTGGTTAAAATAATCCGTCAAGGTGTGGGCGGTGATTACTAATTCGAATTATGCACCGCGTGATACCTATTTCGCTTCATTTTAATAAGTGACTAGTTTTATATGTCAAATTCGTGGTAGATCTTTTTGAGCGTACGGTTTGGTTCGAAATATCCAGTCACTTCCAAACTACAGGAATTATATAGCCATGGCCTTTCTTTTCCTTTTATTTCTACGATAACTTATTTCTTTTACTTTTAAACTTCTTAGGTCTATAACATCTCATCGTCTATTTATTGTTAAAAATAGATATCGACAGGTTAATCAATATTGATATAACAGGTTAATATTTTATTCATTCTGGGGGCACGGGGGCACAGTTAGATTTGAAGTTTCAAGGTTAACTATTTTAGGACATTCGAAGACAATTAATGGCTACGTCCACTATTAATATTATTAATTATTATCAACAGAACCACTCATTAACGAAAACGTATTATTGTTAAAGTTTTTTTCAGGAAATGTGAAAGAGACGACAATATATTTGATGCGAATATTTCTGGTTATAATTATAACGCATGCTTAAAATTATCAAGAACATTATTGCATTGTCATTTTCGCGTAATTATATTAATTTAAACTGAATGTTTATAGTTATTTTAGATAGTTTTATAATTTTAGACTACGCTATAAGTTGTAGTAGTGAAATTTCACAATATTTTTGTATTATTTTGATCTGTATAAATTTAAAGTAATGTACATTAGGTAGTTTTTGTATAAAAGAATAACAAACATCCATCAATCAATTCCCATAAACTTTTATCTTCATATTGTTAGAATTATTAAAGTATTGCTATTTCCCAATATTTCCGTGACTCAAGATTTTCACAGCGTAGGCGTTTGGCAAAAGGAATCAGTCGCCAGTCCCGTGGGTGTCGTAAGAAGTGATTAAGGAAAGAAATAAATCAGGGAAATAAAGGCTTTTTGTCATGCAAAACGTGTTACGAGCAAAACTTTTTAAGTAACTTACATGAAAAACATATCAGTCAGTCGTCTGTATACGCTGTGTTTTAATAAATCAGTTACAACGACAACGAAGTAAGCAATATTCATAATAATAACCGACAGTCTTCTTTGACAAACCATTAAAAGCAATAGCTTTTGGCTTAAGATATGATACAATACTAGCTATCGCCCGCGACTCCATCGCGCGAAATTAAAAAAAATTCTATGCCAAATTTCATCGAGATCCGTTCAGTCATTGTGAAGATACCTTTAAACATTCATCCATTCAAACTTTCGCATTTATAATATTAGTAAGACTACTCCGAATTTCACGGTATTTACAATACTCATGGGCCTTAACCACATTTTCTTATAGTTATGTAAATATATACATTTTTAAATACTATTAAAGTGTTGTGAATGTTAATCCATGTAGAAAATAACCCTGGATAATAATCCTGTATGCAGTTAGCTAATGTTACTTCAATATTAAGTACAAACAAAATAACATAAGAATCTATTCAGCGGTGTCTTTTCTATGAAAACAACCATTAACCTATTTTTAAATTGGACTTTCGAAAGAAATAAATGACGCAATTGTATGCATCGATGTTGGCACTATTCACCACTGATCCAGAATTATTGTCAAATCGACAAATAATGTAACACTGTCCTTTAATTAGATAAATAGCTTATTAGCGGTCGCCCGCGACTCCGTTTACGAGGATTTAAAAAAACATAATGAGTACCCTACACGTTTGTCCAAGCTATGTTCTATACGTATGCGAAATTTCATCGAGATCTGTTCAGCCATTTTAAAGATTACTTCAAACAAACACCCAACCATCCATCCGTCCATCCATCCATCGATGCATGTAAATTTTCTCATTTATAATATTACTAAGAAGTAAGATAGAGAATGATTTTAGTAACAAAATTTACGAAAACTTAAAAATGGAATAAGTAATGAGACATAAAACAATAAAAACAAATGAATAACTAATTTTTTGAATTGCTAGTTGCACCGGTCAGGTATTGCGATGTGATTACAATGCAAATTGAATAAAATAAAATAACAAATATATATAATTGGAATCTCGGAATCGGCTCCAACGATTTTCATAAAATTTAGTATTTGGGGGGTTTCGGGGGCGATAAATCGATCTAGCTAGGAATCATTTTTAGAAAATGTCATTTTATTCGTGTTTTATCGATAATCAACTTAAACTTAACTTTTTCTATCGGTAAGATCGAAAAACATTATTCATATTGCATCATTTTGTTAGTAATTCGTACTTAAATATAATTTCCAAAAAACACAATTTAAAAAAAAACATCTAGGTACTGATATATTAATTGAGATTCCCATCGTGGTGAGAGATAAAAGTACGAACAAGAATTTTTATTTAAATCAGTAAATAATAGAAAACAAAGCTCATATTTTTATCTCTATCAGTATAAAGAAAATAATAGGTTTACTGTATCAGAGACAGTTCAGCTAGAGTTGTTAAGACTATTTTAGATTCCAATCTGTTACTCAAATAAATAAACCGCTTGGTAATATAGTTTCACGTTTGAGTTTCCTGACGCTTGGCCATCGCTTTCGTAAACGTTGTGCTGGTTTATCTAAACATTGGCTTCCAGCTAAGTTTATTTTAGTTTTACTATATTATAGTACTGTCGATTTCATACTGACTTTATGACTATTTATTTTTAAACGTGTTCAATGCTGCAATCAATTGTTTGCGAATTACACATTCGATTCTAATGCCAAATTAGTTGTCGTATTTAGATAGTTGTCGTTAAGCTATAGGATAAATTAGACACAGACATACTAAAAGAAACCTTTTAAAATTATTAAAACATATTTTAGTATGCTTAATCATTAGAATAATTACATAGATAAAAGATTTACTACTATTTTATAATAATTTCCAAAACCTTAAACTACTACCTAAATAAATACCTCTGTAATCGTTATGTACACAAATATTTACATATGTATAAGATCTGATACTATTTAATTGAAAAGTTGTATGTGTGTTATATATATGTTGTGGTTGTGCTTAAATAAATAAATTTAAAAAAAAACTTTTTAGGTATCTAAAGCCAGCTGTTGAGATATCTGAGAAGAAATTCAAAGATATGTGTGAAGTCAACCAACCCGCACTTGGCAAGCGTGGTTGACTACGGTCTAGACACCCGTAACTTAGGGTAGGCCCCGAGCCCCTCGGTGATGACGTATAGTGAGCTGATGATGATGATGAAAAGCCAGCTGAACACGTTCAGTTTAAACTTTAATATTTTAACAGTCGAACAGTAAAAACTGACATGTTTAGGCAAATAACTGTATAGTTCTCAGTTCTGCCTACACACGACAGCTTTAACTGATCAGTCAGACTTTGTTAAAAAGGAAAGTGTGTAGTGGGCTTTATGCATATTTTTTATACATTAAGTGTGTATGATCTACTAGGTCACAACTTATGTTCAAGATAAATGTAGATGAGATGCTACTCCTTACAAAAAAACTCTAGTGGTGAAATGTTTTCTATGTTTCCATTTCATCAAACTGATATACTCTGGTTATTCGTTTAATCTTAATAAAATATGACATTTGTCTTTATATTATTTACTAAGTTGCAACCGCGACTCCGACCGCGCGGAACTAAAAAAAATAGTAGCCTATGTGTTCTTCTAGACCAATGGTTCCCAAACTTATTTTGTCTACTGCCCGCTTTGAGAATAAATATTTTTTTGCGCCCCCAATTTTTTCACATATATAAAAACCACTATAACTTCAAATTAAATTAATTAATTATTGTGACCTATATATGTATATTAACGGAGAATTCTAAACGAAACTTTTACTATAACCCGCAACTAGAAACGTGCAGCGCCCACAAGGGGGCGTTATCGTCCACTTTGGGAAAGACTGTTGTAGACTATGCTCTACATCTATGACAAATTACATAAAGATCGATTAAGCCGTTTTAGAGACAGCTTCTAACAAACATTCACGACACTGGCCTAATCTGCTTAGGGAGAGCCATAATCAAGAAACTGAACTGAACAAACATCCATCCATCCATCTAAACTTTCGCATTTATAATATTAGTAAGATTAACATAAATTATATAAGTAAGTAAATATAATAAAATATGTATATCATTCTTTTAAGGATTCGAATACAAGAATGATTCAAATATTAACATCATTAATGTGGGTGAAAATTATAATACAAATTTAATTATAAGTGAACACCAGTCGGACAACTTAATTTGAAATTTCGCAAAGTAAAAGCATAAGACAAACGTGAAAAAACCTTCAATTTCTTAAATCCCACGCAGTCCTCAGAGATAGTAATCTAATTTTCATTTATTCTGTAAGGCGGCAGTCCATGAATCGGTCCCCGGGAGAACCGAGTCGTGTTCCAATTTGGTTGCCTTGGTAATTGCTTCTGAGGGAAACACCGGTGTACGATAAATATACTCGATGTAAATTAATTTTCAATTCAAATTACCTTTAATATTTTGAAAGCTAATTTGTTTTAATAGAAAATAATTTTAACAAAAATAAGAGAAATGTTGCCCTCAAAACGAAGTACCATTTCCACGTAGCGGCTAGCCGCGCGCGTCCGTTTATGTCGCGCCAGTGAAAATAGAACATGCTACTCCTAATTATATCTTTCCTCTGTTGAAAGATTCTTTCTTATTCTCATTAAAAAACACATACAATTACACTTAAGATACAACTATTATCGTAGTTTACTTGTGCAACTGGTCGTGTATAGCTAGTCGCTATGTGGATAGAGGTTTTTAAAAACTGTGTGGGTCGTCGCAAATATTAACATACTTCTTTATAACAAAAAAAAGTTTTGAAAAGGAGCAATTTGATTACGTACTTATATCTATAAGGTACCAATGAAAAGGCGAATATACTTCACAACGGAGTAATAAAGATTTTATAGGTTAATAATAATGAAATATTTTCCTATGGAAGCTAGTTCATCGCTTATAAAGCAAGTCAAGTCCTTTTTATTAAAGTCAAGATTCATTTTAAGACGTTTCCATTTATAGAGCCTTTGAAAGAATTTATATCACTAGGATATTGATAAGCAAATTAAGTATTATTTGTTCGTTTCATCGTTCAGTTTATATATAAAGTATTATATAAATTATTTGTACCTTATAAATGGTCTCACGTACTTATACGTTTAATAAACATTAGGATAATTATTATAACAAAAACAATAATAATTCTACAAACCAAACATTGCTCCCAAGGGTCTTAAATGTTTTAAAACGACCGGAATGCTTAAACCATTCATTATTGTATAGTGCGATCCAAACTTTATGGCAGTTCTCAATTTTGTATCGGTCGGACATATTAAACTGCGGGAACAGTGCTTGCTTGGCAACCACATTGAGCGCACCTGGCGCCCACCTGATATGCGCTCGGAGCTATCCACGAGCCGTTATAAAATTTGAATCATGCTATACTCGACACGGCTGTACCAAGCTTTAATAAAAATGTTGAAATAACTACTGATTAGGCATAATTAGTGCGTAGGTCGATTTTATGTAATTTTCTTAACCTTTAATAAAACATTCATTGTTCTCTTTCTCCTGTTAATTTAGATGTAAATAACAAACACGGTGCACTAACCACCAACGCATGCCCTCGAATACCTTTGACCTTATAAAAAACATTACCAAGAAAATGCTCAGCAATATGAAACGATAATGAAAACTTAAAGTACGAAGACGCTAACATTATTCAGAATAATAAAAATCTTAGATCAGAAATTTACGAGTAGATAAAATATTTAGTTTTATTTCAGATTCAGATTTAGTGACCGTAAACCATCGCCCAATGGACTGACTCGACAATATGGAATATCACAAGATCACAGGAGACAGGTATGAAGTCGAATTATCTAATTTCCTGTGTGAATTTAGAACCGGAGACCAAATATTCCTCCGTTCTTTAGAAAAGAATGGGAATAGTATTTGGACTTTGCGAGGAGGATAAAAATAGTTAACATACCTGTAAATTATGGTAAAACCAGAGTGAACCGGTAACAGATATAGAGAACCAGAGGAAGAGAGTGAAGACGGATATCTGGCTGAGATGCATCGCGTTGAGCAGCGCCGACAGCACGACGGCAAGCGCGTGGCATAGCACGATGGGTAGCGCGCAACGATCTATTATATCCCACGGTACTTCCTGCAACAAAAAAATATTATAAATATTGTCTTACAATTTATTTAATAGAAGAATGAAAATTACGAGCGAGCGGTAACCAGACGTTAATTGGCAGTTAGCACTAGGTTTGCACAAGAAAAAACAGAAAAAGTAACGCTATTTGTTAATTAAAAGACCAAAAAACCCAACTAACCCATAGAGAAGAAATACGGCTGAACATTTGTCGTTAATTTTTTTTCGTAGTTTAGACTCCAGCCGGCCGCAATATAACTTATTTACATAAAAGCTTATTTATGAAAAATATTTCTTACTTGAGTCAGTCGGGTAAAAAAGGATAAGTCATCTTTGTCTCTACCAAAACCTTTTCGCAAATTTAATTATTTGACCGTATACATCGTAAGTTACTTTATATTATAAAATTGCTTAGTTTACCTGTGATTGTGTTTGCGGGTTCTTGATGAGAGAGCCGCGGCGCGCGGACGGCCGGCGGTGCATAGACGGCGCGGTGATAGAGGCGCGCCGCGTCACGTCGCCTGCAGCCATTATTACCCACTGATTGCCGCTTTGTCTAAAAGAAAATCAAATTTTACTTTTATCTTCTATTACTATCAATTTTATGGTGTTCCAATTTACTCTGAGTGAAATCTATTTGTTTGCGAATTGCCACAATGCTTATCATTTATCTTTGGTTTGCATTGATTATTTTATTTTATTATTTAACATTTATATACCAAGGAATGAGCAATTCTGTTTCTAGTTATACAATTATTCATTTTCATATTCTTAAACAATCTGACAACTAAGAAATTAAGCTCGGCTTTTGACTTAAGTAAGTAAAGATCCAGGCTTCATGTTTTAATATTTAAATATAAAATGTTCCTTGAATTATGTCTGGATGATTTCACGCCTACGCCCTCATTTACACTTAAGATCCTAAGAAACGATATACAATGAAATAAAATATAACTTTATAATTTGAAGTGATATTATAATTGATAAATATAATTGCGGCGTGTTAAAGTGAGCGCTAAGTTAAGGTCAATTAGATTTAACTTTTTATACACCTTTATTACTCACTAACTTTACCGCCAAAGTTTAAAATAAGAATATAACGTTAACACAGGCATTGCCCGAGACCAGCGCTTTAATAAAAATCTAGAAAAGTCTGCGTGTTATTTTTGATAGTTCAGTAAATCAGCGAACGCCCACGGGGCATCTATCAAAATTTATATAAATCTGGCTTGGCGGCAGTTTAGGTCGTCCCGTTGATCGCGATCTGTGTAAAAATAAACTTGTGTCCGAGCGCTGCGCCGTGTTCTTGGCGGCCGGGATCGTTTCGCGACATTTACACGGTGCACTTTCTATTTACGATGTCTCGCAGCGACCGCTCCAGTCCTCGCCTAACCTCTGCTTACGTACACTACGTCCAATCAAAATGCAATACCAACAAGCTTCATAAAACTTTAAAGTAGCTTGTATTGAATATAAAAGGCTTTCCCCATTTTTCTTTTCGAACGAAATAAAATTAATGGGTTTTGATAACGTCGTTAATCAGTAAGAAAAAGTCTAACATATTTATTTATTTTTTCACTTCAAAAATTCGGACAAACAATAACTTGTAAGAGTATCGTACAAAAGTCAACACACTACCATCAAGTATTTAATTATAGAATTAGTTAAAATATTACTGTGAATGTTAAATCTAGCCTTTAACATAGTTATCTAATGCACACGATGACAGTTAAATGTTGATTCCGGACTATAAAATATCATTTAAATTCCATCGCAGAGAAACAAAAGACAAGAGAATAAAAACCGAAAGTAGTTATAATAGAATATTAGCGCTTTAATTTCTTATTGTTGACAGAAAGACACACGAAAATGTTTTACAAAATTTATTGATACTATAAACATAGGAGCGTCGGTGGCTGAGGAGCGTCGGTGGCTCTGTGGTCAAGCACTTGACTTGCAATCTGCAGGTCCTGGGTTCGAATCCCGCCATGTATCAATGTGTTTTTCGATTTCCGATTTAGATATGTACCTTTATCCGACGTTTTTACGGTGAAAGAAAACATCTTGATGCAACCTGCACATATCTGAGAAGAAATTCAAAGATATGTGTGAAGTCAACCAACCCGCACATGGCCAGCGTGGTTAACTATGGCCTTAATCACCCTTCACTTAGGGTAGGCTCCAAGCCCCTCGGTGGGGACGTATAGTGAGCTGATGATGATGATAAACATTAATGTGAACGCCGACTAATTTATTTATAAAGGATTTTAATTCTTTTCGTATAATAATTAAGACAGATGCCTCTGTGACATTTGTGGTACAAAAAATACAGCAATGAAAAATGTTGATCTGTGATAGTTTTGTAATGTTTGTTTTCCAGTGTAAATGATGTTTTATAACAAATTGTGATTAGTTAATTAGTTTTGATTGTTATTTAGGAGATTGATGAAGTTAATGAAACCGATTGGCATCGTAAAGAGCCGCCCGTGGCGCGCGACGACGCGGGCGTGAACGCGATAATGAACGCTTACGCTAAGTGTTTTTTATATTATATTATATTTGCGCCTACTTTATGACTTCGGTGGCAACTTGCCCGAATTATAATCATAAACTCGCCTACGTATGTATCACAAGGTGACTTTTCATTTCTTTTGTTTTTATTGTGTTTGTTTGAAAAGGAATTACTGTTACTACCCTTGCACGAGTTCGTCTTCGGTTTATTTCAAAACTTCTTACGTTTTGAAAATGCGAGTGTCGTTTTGTTATCGATGAGTATTCATTGATAAAAAACGCGATTTCTGTGCTTTCCATTTTCTATAATAAGATATCTTTAATACATGTTAAATATATTTATATTTCTTAAGATTTATTTAGTAATCATTTGAAAACTAAAAGTTTAAAAAATAAAAATATGTCCCAATACAATAAATAAAACACTTATTAATTTCATATTTTAAATATTATTTGGAATAAATCTGCATTAGAGTCCCCAGACCATCATGACAAAGATTTATAAAATTATTTCCAGTGGTTTAGAACACATAACAAACATATAGACATTGATTTTTATTTATAAAGATAACGAGCTGTCGCCCGCGACTTCGTCCGCGCGGGATTATAAAAAAGATTATGAGTAGCCTAAGCTTTCTTCCAGATTATGTTCTACATCTGTACCAAATTCCTCAAGATATATAGAGCAGTTCCGGAGATACATTTAAACAAACATCCATCCATCCATCTAAACATTCGATAATATCAGTAAGATAGATACGAGTAAGTTGCAGTTGCGAAAGTATACTTATAAAGAATTTACATTCCAACAAAAAAAGGGATATAGTTTTAAATAGAAATGATTACGTAAAATCGAAATCAACGACCATTCGCTTTGCAATCCGAACAAAAATAGCAACGGAAACTCATATGGATTCACTATTCTTTTCTTCGCTTGAAAATTTCATTACGCTAATAAAGTGCGTACTTTCCGTACTTCGTTGAATTTATTGCACAAGAAATATTATTAATAGAATTTCTTTACTTTTATTATTAGACATGGGTCACATTTTGTGAACTGTAGACTAAGTCAATGACGAAAGCACACGACTTATTAACTGCTTTTTTAGCAAGATTTCTTAACAGATAGTTACCCGAATGAAAGCGAAAATCCAATAAAATACGTAATGTATTTATTTATGATGATTTAATATTTATTTATCATTAGTATATTGCAGTAAACTACTTAATAGAAGCTTCGAAAACAGTGAAATTCGAAATACAAAATATTTAGGAGTTGGATGAATCGATACTATTCTTTCATCGTGAAAATTGTTCACTAAAATTTCGTTTTGTTTCTGAGTATCAAACAAACATTTCAATACTTAGTTTTGGTGCCTTTTAGTAGTTCTGCTTTGTGTTGATGAATGACTGAAGTTAGGATAAAATAAATTTCAAACTGGGTAAAGCATCTCAGATCACCGAAAACACTCCCGAATAACACTGACAACATCAAAGGGTTGTTGGGAGTCTTCGGAGAGTTGGGATGGCTGGACTAAATCCGGATCCTGCTCACATGCAAAAGACGCGCTAGTCGTGGAATTGCGGAAAATGAGCCCTTATAATTAGCCAAATTTCAATAAAGTAAATTTCAAGATGCGTAGTTTGGATACACCTTTTATAAAGTTATCGAACCAATAACATTAATGAATGAATAAACGGTCAGAAAATGGACTTTAGAAACCGGGCATACGTAACATGATAATCCCATTTTCTACCTTTCTAAAAACACTGTTTGAATTACTATCGTTGAAAAGATGAAAACATAAAAACAATTTTACAAATCAGTAACAAATTGTTAAACTCGATCTTTTGAAACAATTTGAAAGGTTTGCGGAATAAAAAAAGAAACAATGGAAACGAACGGAATGAGTTAGTTCACCAATTTTAATTGACTTTTGTTTTTTGCGTCACGTTTTAGATTTTACAAGGTAAGGACAAAACTCGCTCGTGGAAGCTCTACACACTTTTGTTTATAAGTTTTCATTGGATAAGTACCACAGTTCTTTCAAACTGTTTTGCAATCCCTTCCATTGTTGCAACCTTTGACTTTTCCTCGACCAATCAAGTTTTACGAATTATAAGAACAATAAGTTTTTAATTTGCGTTCAGAAAGACGTAAGTCTCAGAATTATACGCACTTTATTATTTTCAACTTTATCAAAAACCCCCGCGAATGATGACAGTATTTGTATGTACAAACAACAACTTTGTCTGGTCCGTTTCGCTATAGTCAAAGGTTGCAACTACAAAACTAAAATTTATATCTAACGGAAACTCTAGGTACTATATTTTAGCAAGCTATATAAACAACGCGAAAAAGATTTATCACCACTTTGGCCGAGGAGATTCATAATTCAAAACGATATTTGAAATGATTCTTGCAGTTAAAATATACATTAAAAGTTATTTTTACATCGTTTCTATGTATTTCGATTACTGTTGCTTTATACTGGGTGACGTCACCATTCCTTCTACATGCTAATTTTTCTCATGTGTTTTCCACCTATAACCTCTTCCTGATTTATTGAACAAAGTGTGAGCAGAAACTGCACTAAATTTATTGTACTATAAATTCCCGGGGTTTGAAGGTACATAATTCGCTCCCACCTCTTTACAGCTAATGGCTTACCGGATAGTAAGGTCGATGACCTCTCAAATCTCAAGTCATTCAGGTGAATGCTACATGGACATGTCTGAATTCTCGAGTACCTTCTCCCGAGAGAGCTATCATCTTGCTCTGACATTATGTCATACATAGGATTACTATCATGTCGTATGATAATTGTCTTGTGTTGACATTAATTTAACGATTTTAATTTAAGAGTTAGGTTAGATTAATGAATGGTTAGCTAAATAACACCGCCGCTCGTGTTTTGTCAAACTTATAAATCGATATTTCCAACAAAACAATGACAGCTAAATTCCAGTTTCCATTAAGCGTCTTTAAAACATGAATGCATTTTTTTAAATATGAAATAATTATTCTAAACTAGCTGTTGCCCGCGACTCCGTCCGCGTGGAATGAAAAAACACTTAATTAGTTCCCGAAAATTATTCGAATTTTTCTCACCTTTTAAACCTTCCCCAGACTTCCACGAACATTTCAAGACCAAAATAAGATAAATCCGTTAAGTTTTAACGAGACTAACGAACAGCAATTGATATTTTTATATACATACTAGCTGTCGTCCGCGAATCCGTCCGCGTCGATATATAAAAAAACTTAATTAGTAGTGTTCTTTCAGACTATGTTCTACATATATGCCAAATTTGATCGAGATCCGTTTAGCCGTTTTAGAGATATCTTCAAACACCCATCAATCCATCCACATCACATACATCTAAACATTCGCATTTATAATATTACTAAGTTAAATAAAAAGCAGCTCTGCAAGGCATAAATTCGAAAAAAAATAATAATAAATAGTATCCTATGTCAGTCTCCTGACTCTAAGCTACCTCCACATCAATTTTCAGCTATATCGGTAAAGCTGTTCTAGAGTAATAAATAGTGTAACTAACACGACTTTCTTTTATATATAAGAGATATAGATATAAGATTTAAGAAATCCAATTAACGTCAAAGAAGACCCTACAATTTAGCAAAATATCATAATAAGTAAAACACTACCATTATATCGTTTATATTGATATCGAAAAATTACGAATTCGTTCTCTCTATAAAGATTATTTCAATTAAAATGTAAGTATATGTAGCGGATACACACACACACTGACATAAACACACACCCACACACTTACATCCATCAATACTATCATTCCTTACATTTACACATTCATTCAAACATTTATTTATTTCTTACATTTAAAAGTAAATAACAAATTTAATATTAACAATTACATAAAAATATTACTTTTTATTTCTATTATATTATTCGAAATATAAACAAAATTTTGATAACTTAATATGATTATAACGCCCTCTAGTCGATGCATCGAAAACGCTTAGCGTGAAGTTTGCATCGATTCGTAATGCATTTTAAAAAATCACTTGTAACGACCATCTTTGATCTAATGCAACAATTATCTCTGTAGCTTCCGTGTTATTAAATATGTTAAGGTTTTGATTTCTATTTACTTCTGTGATTATTTAGTTTTGTTTAGTTAACCTTCTGAACTATTAAAATTGTGTGGTGTGATTAAAAGAGTGTTTAATTCCGGCAACGGACTGCATCCTGAAGAACACTCTCACACTACCCCAAACTGGTGACCCCTAAAGTGAACATTTAAATCAAACTAATTAAAAATGAGCAGTGACGGTGAAGAAAAATCTGATTACGGCGCGCGAGTGACGAAGCGGCGAGTGCGCGTGCCCATTGTTATGGACGATAATTCAGACATTTGCCGTGTTAACGTGAGCATGCCGCCATTTTGGCCTGAAAAGCCATTATTATGGTTTAGTCAAATTGAAAGTCAATTTTGCATATCGAAAATAAAAGATGACGACATAAAATTTCACCTGCTTATTACAAACTTGGACCGGAGATATATAAGTGATATCGAGGATTTAATAACATCGCCTCCAACGACCGGGAAGTATGAAAAATTAAAAAGCGAAATTATTAAACGGCTTTCCATTTCGAAAGAAAAAAAATTAAGACAACTACCCCAGGCCGAGGAGATGGGCGATCGCAAGCCATCTCAGTTTCTTCGACATCTACAGCATCTCGCAGGCCCCAACATACCGGAAGATTTTCTTAGATCATTATGGACAGGTCGACTCCCAAGTAACCTACAAACTATCGTCGTGTCCCAGATGAGTATGCCCCTAAGCGAAGTAGCAGACTTGGCAGATCGAGTACACGACATCGCCCCAGCTTCACCAGTTGTTGCAGCCACATCATCTTCACATGACAGGTTGGAACAGACCATTGAGGCCATGGCTCGACAAATATCAGAACTGAAGACGCAGGTCAGTACTATTAATTCTAAAATCGACGATCGCTCCCGGCCACGTCATAAACAAAGGTCACGTGAGCGCAGCCGTACGCCGTCGAGAAGATCACAGTCGTCCTACAGGAAATTTCCTACCTGTTGGTATCACTCCAAGTTCGGCAGCCAGGCGAGACAGTGCATACCGCCTTGCGATTATAAGTCGGGAAACGCACCGGGCAGTCTGTAATGGCGACGGACGACTGCCCCACATCAACTACTGGTCGCCTATTTTTAACTGATAGCAGATCGAAAATGCAGTTCTTAGTGGACACAGGAAGCGATCTATGCGTTTTCCCCCGATCTGCGCTTAAACAACAGCGCGACAAATCTGATTATGTACTGTGTGCGGCTAATGGTTCTACTATTTATACTTATGGTTATGTACAACTTAATTTAAACCTAGGTTTACGCAGAGATTTTATATGGCGTTTTACTGTTGCTGATGTTACAAAAGCTATTATTGGTGTTGATTTTTTGTCTCATTTTAATTTAATTGTTGATGTTAGAAATAAGAGATTAATAGATACTACAACAAAATTGTCAACAGTAGGTCTTTCTGAAAAATTAGGCAGCCTAATATCTAGTGTAAAGGTCGTGACTGGTGATTAAATTTTTTACAAATTACTAGCTAATTTCCCAGAACTTACACGGCCGGCAGGCGCCCATCGCACACCAACACATAAGACTGTTCATCACATACGTACCACACCAGGTCCGCCGGTTTCCTGTACACCACGCAGACTTCCCCCAGAGAAGCTGAAGATCGCCAAGGCTGAATTCCAGGTAATGTTAGCTAATGGTACTGCTCGCCCATCTGAGTCAGCCTGGTCGTCACCACTACACCTCGCTCCGAAAAAGGATAATGGTTGGCGACCGTGCGGCGACTATCGCTTGCTAAACGCGAGAACTATCCCGGATAGGTATCCTTTACGCCATATACACGATTTTGCCCATAGTTTATTCGGTTGTAAGATTTTCTCAACTATAGATCTGGTCAAGGCATATAATCAGATACCAGTATTCGAACAGGACATTCCCAAGTGTGCTATAACCACACCCTTCGGACTTTTTGAGTTCCCTTTCATGAATTTTGGACTCCGTAATGCTGGAGCCACCTTTCAGAGATTCGTGGATGAGCTGACACGTGGTCTAGATTTTTGTTTCCCATATCTTGACGACTTTCTCGTATTTTCACGTGATGAAACAGAGCACAAAGAACACCTCCATCTCCTGTTTAACAGGATGAAGGATTATGGCGTGCTGATCAACACTGCGAAGTGCGTTTTTGGAGCGTCAGAGGTAACATTTTTAGGCTATTCCATCAACCAACACGGCACGAAGCCTCTGGAGGGCAAAGTTCAAGCCATGAAAGAGTTTCCCCTCCCCACTAATGCAAGGCAGCTTAGAAGGTTCCTGGGAATGATAAACTTTTATAGAAGGTTTATCCCCCACGCAGCCAAAATTCAAGCTCCCCTGAATACATTGCTTAAAGGTTCAGTCAAAGCATCACAACCTATACACATGGATGAAAAGTCTTTAAAAGCTTTCGAAGACTGTAAAGATAGTCTTTCCAATGCAGCCTTGCTAGCTCACCCTGGCCCGGCAGCTAAGTTAGGTCTTATCACCGATGCTTCTGATCTTGCTATTGCTGGTGTCTTACAGCAACTCGTAGATGGTAGTTGGCAACCTCTTGCCTTTTTCTCTCGCAAACTGAGTCCATCGCAAACAAAATACTCACCATATGATAGAGAGCTGCTTGCTATTTATGAGAGTATTAAGTATTTCAGACATTGGCTAGAAGCAACACCGTTCACTATCTACACGGATCATAAACCACTATGCTTTGCGTTCAGTGAGAGAAAGGCTAACTGCAGTCCACGACAATATAGGCATCTGAATTTTATTTCACAGTTCTCAACTGACATTCAGCACGTCGCCGGAAAAGATAATGTCGTTGCTGACGCACTTTCCCGAATCGATGAGGTTGAGGCGATAGTAAGACCCGTGGACCTTGAAGTGATTGCTAATGCTCAGGACTCCGATTCTGAATTAGCAACATTTCTAAACCAAGAAAGTTCTCTGCATATTAAGAAATTAAGTATACCTGGTAGTCCATTACAGCTGTACTGTGATGTCAGTACAAATACTCCCAGGCCTCTAATACCCAAATCCTTACGCAAGCAAGTATTCGATAGCTTGCACTCCCTAAGCCATCCCGGCGCCAACACAAGCGCGAAGCTTGTCGCTGAGCGTTTTGTATGGCCACTGATGAGAAAAGATTGTCGCGAATGGTCTAGGGCGTGTTTGCCATGTCAGCGCGCTAAGGTAAATCGACACGTTACTTCGCCTTTAGGCACCCATGATTTACCTTCAGCGAGATTCAAATACGTTCATTTAGACCTTATCGGACCATTACCTCCATCAGCTGACTTACGTTACTGCTTGACAGTCGTCGATCGCTTCACGCGATGGTGCGAAGCTGTCCCCTTAACGGATATCACCGCAGAAACAGTGGCCAAAGCATTTTTGTCGTCTTGGATAGCGAGATTCGGTTGTCCTACTGATATTGTGACAGATCGCGGTAGGCAATTTGAATCGGCACTTTTTGATCAACTTTCAAAATTTATATCTTTTAAACATCGTAAAACGACCAGCTACCACCCTCAATGTAACGGTCTTATTGAGAGGTTCCACCGGCAATTAAAAGCTGCTATCATGTGTCACGACGATAGTAGTTGGGTCGAAGCTTTACCAATAGTCCTACTAGGTATTAGAAGTTCGTTCAAGGAGGATCTTCAAAGCTCCTCCGCTGAACTCGTCTACGGAGAACCCCTGCGTTTGCCAGGCCAATTTTTTGGCCATAAAGCAGATAATTGCACTACTGATATAGCAGATTTTACAGCCCGTATTCGTTCTTTTGCTAATAATTTACAACCCGTGCCAACTTCTCATCACAGCACGAACAAAATTTTCGTCTATAAAGACCTTTCAACTTGTTCCCACGTCTTTCTAAGAGAAGACGCGTTAAGAGGCGCGTTACAACCGGCTTATACAGGACCTCACGAAGTCGTGGAGAAAGGCGAAAAAGTTTACAAGATTAGAGTTAAGGGAAAAGTCTTACGAGTATCTGTAGACCGTTTAAAACCAGCCTACATACTTGTATCCAACAAAGAACCTGATTCCTCCCCATTAACCATTCCTATTACAGATGCTGTGCCGCATTCGACTCCAATTCCAGTGACTACTCGATCAGGGCGAACAGTTCGTTTTCCAGATTATTATCGCCCGTAGACACGGTCTCTGGGGGGGAGTGTTGTAGCGGATACACACACACACTGACATAAACACACACCCACACACTTACATCCATCAATACTATCATTCCTTACATTTACACATTCATTCAAACATTTATTTATTTCTTACATTTAAAAGTAAATAACAAATTTAATATTAACAATTACATAAAAATATTGCTTTTTATTTCTATTATATTATTCGAAATATAAACAAAATTTTGATAACTTAATATGATTATAACGCCCTCTAGTCGATGCATCGAAAACGCTTAGCGTGAAGTTTGCATCGATTCGTAATGCATTTTAAAAAATCACTTGTCACGACCATCTTTGATCTAATGCAACAATTATCTCTGTAGCTTCCGTGTTATTAAATATGTTAAGGTTTTGATTTCTATTTACTTCTGTGATTATTTAGTTTTGTTTAGTTAACCTTCTGAACTATTAAAATTGTGTGGTGTGATTAAAAGAGTGTTTAATTCCGGCAACGGACTGCATCCTGAAGAACACTCTCACATAACCCCAAATATAAACTTTAGTCATAAATGAAATGCAGAAACTTCTACATCACAATGTATAAATTAAAGGAAATCCTTACAAATGTTGTTTCCAACCATTTCTATTAATTTGTTCGTGAGTTACTTGTTCTTAGTTACTAATTTCTTAACAATAACCAATCGGAAAAATTCTTGTAAACTCCCCTTTAATACTTCAATAGAAACATTGCTAAGTTTTTTAAAAAGGGTTTAAAAATTTTGAAGAAAAAGTAATTTGTGTTTTGAAACTTGAAGAAGTTTGTATGATTTCACGAAGCCGATTTGAACGTTTCATTTAAGACCAAGATGAAAAGTAAAAGTTTATGAATACGAATTTTTAATTGCTTTAGGTCTAATATTTTCATTATTTCAAATTTTTCTTTAATAACATTTTATTTACTGAATCAAGTTGTGACTGATACTTATCGAAATCTGTTGCAAAGACATACCTTTATTTATAATATCTTACATCATTATTTAATTTTGGTATATAAAATATAGATACATATACTATCACACAAAATGTAAGTTGTATTTTTTTATAACACAAGGGGGCAATCGAGCAACGGGAACACCCAGGTGTTCAACGACGCCCATGGACATCACCAATACCAATTTGTTTCGAAATAACCACTTTCATATTTTAATTGAATTAATTCTCTACATGTTTTATATTATATTTAATTTGCAAAGTATATGACACACATGATTAACTGTATATTAATTAAATATCTATTTAGTTTTGGTAATCTATAATTCATCATACGGTTACTGGAAGCTCAATTGCATTACGTAACTTAGGACTGAGGTATTTTAATGTTACCAAACTATGACATTTCATCCAATAATATATAGCCTATACTATCACTTCACACAAATCACGTGATCTATTTATTTATTTTTTAATTTATCGTAATATTACTTTGTTTTTGATGCACGCGTACAGCGGTTATGAAGAGTGATATGACGGGCGGTGGTCACTGCCGCAGTCGCGAACTGCTACTGACTCCGTCGCCGGCGCATACGCATGCTCCAAAATTAACCTTCTACATTTTCATATTTATTACCGACAACATATTCGTATGATTGGTAAAAACATCTACTCAATGTGTCGGTTTGATCTTCGCCCGAAATGTTTCTTGGCAAATCACATCAAATACTTTAGTGACTGGTTAATTTAATATTTTTAAAACACATAATTACAAAATTCAATTTTGATGAAACGCATCATTATGAATTAATATCACTGACTGTTGGTTTCTTAGACATATCTTTGTCATTATCTTTGACAAAACAAAGATAATATGTTTTAAACGGGGATTTTGGTCTCAGAAAACCACAGTGAATGTCTAACTTCAGTATTCAGAGATAAAATGGTTACTAGAGGAGGGTCTTACGAAGATTTTTCAGAAAAAGTTTTAAAAATTTAATTTTTAGTGTTGTTAGTTGTATAAATATAGATGTAAAGAACATTGTTCTTCTTGAAATGTCCTTCCATCTAGCATCTGCTAGTAATCCGCTATGTCTTGTACGAAGTAAACCCGAAGAAATACGTTCGATGGCAGCTTCGAGACGTGCACTCAAATACTTTATGAAAAAAAAGTAATTCAAATTTTAATTAATGCTTTATATTCATTGAAATCCAAAAGATTTTAATATTAGTGTCTCAATGTTTTCTTAGTATTCTGTATCAGCTAATGACGTACGCAGAGAAATTTAAATTGGACGTCCATGCTCTTGAAAATAAATGTTCCGCGCACATGCAAGCAGCGACTTCTAAACAACTTAAAAATACATGCTGGAATAGTGTGTACGCTTTAACATTTCCTATGCGATAACAATTTTTGTGCACGTCTTTATATCTTAGTATAATATAATATAAACATGCATGTATGTTAAGGGAAAGAAAAAAAAGATGACGAACAGGAAAATCTAAATTTCCATCTCCTTGCCGTCAAAGGAAAGAGTACTACGCTTCCACCCCACATTTTGGAACACATAACAAACCTATTTTGAGCCTCTCTTCGTTAGGCATGAAGCCATCGAAAAATTTGCATCACTAACCAGGGGTTTCTGAGACCGTAATCCCCATTGAAAAATATTCTTATTTTAGTTTTGTCAATGATAACGAAGGGTATGACTATATGTTTTATACAGAGATTTAGGTCTCAGAAACCAACAGTATCTGATGTGGTTAGACATGTAATTGACATGTGAAAGTAGTGAAATGTGGTTCTCACTCGAACAGTTAGATTGACAAACATTATATATTATGTATTTATTTGAATCTAGGACGTATCTTTAGACCGGAGTGAAACACCATATTTCGTCAAACGTGCCCTATGGTTCTTATTAATTTACTAACGTTCGCCCGCGACTCCGTCCCCGCAAGATTAAAAAACATAATTAATATCTTGTGTGTTTTTATAGACTATGCCCTAAACGTAAGCCAAATTTCATTAAAATCCATACAGCCGTTCTGGTAATACCTTCAAACAAACAACCATTCATCCATCTAGATATTCGCATTTATAATATTAATAAGATTAACGCTAATCTAAAAGCGGTTGTTAATTGTGATGATATTTCGCTTGCATAATTATTACACAATCTATAATTATTTTTGTACCGTATCTGTGTCGCGTCAGTTGCATGGTGAATTTAGAACATCGGTGACGTCGGCCGGTACGCGCCGGCTTGATTCGTTGCCAGAACGATATTACAGCTAAGAATAGTACTCTCAATAAATCAATTATGAATGACCGATGAAGTCAATATACTTATTCGGGTACATCATATGGTCGATAGTCTGTCTTACTGCGTCACGCATAAAATTTTACTTAATGTTGGTTTCTGAGAACAAAAATTTCTGCCTTTAACTTTGACAATACAGAGATAAGAATATTTCAACAAGGAATTTTGGTATTAAAAACCCCGCGATGATACATTTTTCCTTTTCAGCAGGATTAAGTTAGCGGAAAACCGTTATTTCTTTTTTATTTTGATACCCGTTTGATAATGTATCCCGTACTATGTTCAATTTTGAACAGTAAAGTGTATTTTGATTCGTATTCTTCCACGAATTTCATGTTAGTATTTAGTTTTTTTGTTGATATTTCCTTTTTAATATAACTGCTAGTCAATTGATTTGAATTGATGTGTTCAGATCGAATCTTTATGTTACTTTTATTTACTTTTACGTTTATTTTCAATACATTTACATAATCTTGTATTTGTTTGCACTTTGAATTCGATGTTGCCAACGCTAGTTAAAAGGTCAGATGTACACGCTACGATCTGCTTATATAACGGGAAGATTGGATTTACTTTAACGTACAAACTTGTACCGAGCGCGTCACGTGAATTTCTAGTAAATTTACATAGTTACCACACTCGAATGTGTTTTGTGAATGTAAAGGAGAATTAAGTTGTGCCGTTATGCTAAATTGTATTCAGTCACACTGTTTATTTAATTGTTTATAGCAATAAGTCCTTCTGCCTCTACCTTAAAATACGTAAATTACAAAATTGGGTATTATATGTTATGTCGATGTATTCCTTATAATCTGTACAATACTGTCATATAATAAACTGTTTTCAAAATGAATTTTCTATTTACTATAAAATCGTCGTATTATTTAAAATTTCGTTGCGGTATTTAGACTGAAAAAAGGGCTAGGTATTTTTTTTTTCAATATTAAAATTTGATCATTTTATTATGCGTGGGCCCAAAAAAACTAACTTCTTTACGCTTGGCTTACATTTTCATTTATCTTAAAAGTGATCTTTCACGTGTATAAATCGTGATTATTTACGTAGGAGTTAATAACATCTTTTTATACGTATTTTTATAAACAAGACTACTCATAATTATATTTAAAATAGAGTGTCTTGAATATTAATATAAAATTATTTATTATGAACGTTTCCATTTCAAATGAATACTTTATTTCCCTTAAGGTTAATTTTAGTTTTCATTTTAAATTTTCTATTTTCCCAAGATGCAGAAATTTAATTTTCTGCTTTACATGCAGGAATTTGACATAAACTTTACTTATCTGTTAACTTAAAAACTTATATATTATGTCTAACTAAAGCTATCAAGTTTTGTTAAATTATAAAGTACTTTTTTAGGACTTTTAAACTCAACTCGGACGAGGTCGCAAGAAACAGCTAGTTATTTTACACTTCCATTATAACAAAAATAATGTTAGTAGTTGGATAAGTTAATGAAACTAATAAAACAATCAAATACTGAAATACAAAAAATAATATTATTAAAACGCAAATCTCCTTTCGTTTATTTGATTAACAATTATTTATCGTGAAATGTCTTATCGTCATCGTGAAGTTTAGAAAGCCTAATGAAGCATAAGTAATCAAGAGCTTCGATTAGACATGTAGGCATGTCTAGATGACATTTTGCAGTCAGAGCGCGTAATGTTTTCATTAGAGCCGTGTAGAGGTTTGCTCTGTAGAAGCCGGGAGTGCTGAATGCATCGGTTAGTTAATTTGCATATGAAATGCAAATGAGACCTTTATGGCAACCATGTCGTGACGTTTTCATGTGTCGATTTTATTACTAGAGTAAACATAACACGTATTTGATACAAGACGTCTTTACGAATATGTGTATGTTTGCGTCAATATTTGAAGGTAAATAAGAGAAGCAATTATCTCATCAGGTACTTCGATCGAAATTATAGATAAGTTTTTATTTGATTGTTAATAATACTAACAAGGAGAGATAATAATTTGAATTTAGAAATAAACACTTTGCAAAACTAATTTAATTTTTCCAGGCTTTTTTCAAAATTATTTGCTAGTAGTTCTAAATAAGAGAGTGAAAGTTGATATTTAAAGATGTTTTGAAAGGTCAGATACAAGGCCTAGAAACTTGAATTTTTGCACAGAAGTTTCTTTCTTTCATAATCACTTACTTAGAACAAATAATTGACAACATGTTTCAGGCTCAAATTCATCCTATAAAGTTCAAGAATAAGGTATGAAAATTTTATAGTTCATTCGGACGAAGTCGCAGAAATAGCTAGTTTAACATAATTTCGTTATCCTGGAAATCATGCGTATAATAATTTTCATATTATTTTCTTTTGAAATATTTTCTTACTTAAGCAAAATGTCATTTCGGTTAACTTAATAATTATGTTGTTTTAGGCGCTACAGTGAAAATATCAAACAATTTTGAGCCGTTATTATAATTTATACTGAGTAATTCATTTCGAAATATTTAAAATACCAAGGGTGTTCAACCCTGGTATTTTATAAATTTAAAATGAGCCTAGATATATTGTTCGACAGTTGTAGCTCGTATAATTACCAAATAGTGATGGTACGCAATGACAATGATAAGCAATGATAAGCATCGGAAATATTATTTACTGTGTCCGAATCATAATATTTATTAATTTAAAAATCATTACTTTATGATAGTTGTACTGCTGAGGCCAAATGATATAGTACTCACGTATTCAGGACATAAACACAATGAACATCAGGCGATCGCCGCGTGATATGACGGTGTCGAAGAAATCTAATAAGTGATGACCTTTACAATCCTGTCGTTAATAGTTTTGATGGCATGTCCATGAAATAAATTACAGGCCATGGGAAAAAATTCAAAATAACTTCCAAACTGAATTGCTTATATGAATTAATACGCGTGGGAGACCAGGCAATAAGTAGAGAAACAACTTAAATTACTTTATAATCAAAGTAAACTTTGAAACCGCCTTTGGCGATTCGACTTCCACCGTTATCAATACTTTGAAGTGGATTAGTTTCTGATTTTTACTTTTATATCTTGAAAACTTTAATGTAAATTACCTTATCCTCCATCCTTGATACTGCACGTGTAATTTAAATTATATATTACACAATGTATATTAGCGCTTGAATAAATTTTCTAAGCGCTTAATTGCAGTGCAGAACTTGTTGAACTAAACTAAAATTTAACATTTTTATAGAGTCGTTTAATTGACATTAATTACAC